CAGATTGACTTTCTGGCTCCTGGCTTCAGTCTGGCCCAGCTCCAATTATTATCGGTATTTGGATAGTGAACCAAAAGATGGAAATTTTACCATCTCTATCTCCCTCTCCCCCTTCCCTGCCTTTTCAATAACTGTTTTTAAAAATACAATTAAGGGTCTGGCACTGCGGTGTAGTAGGCTGGGCTTCTGCCTCCAGTGCCTGCATTGCTTATGGGTGCCTGTTCCAGTCCCGGCTGCTCCTCTTCTGATCCAGCTCTCTACTGTGGCCTGGAAAATCAGTGGAGGATGGCCCAAGTGCTTGGGTCCCTGCACCCATGTGGGAGACCCAGAAGGGACTCCTAGCTGCTCCTGGCTTCGGATCAGCCCAGCTCTGGCCCTTGCAGTTATTTGGGGAGTGAACCAGCAGATGGAAGACCTCTCTCTCTGTCTCCCTCTCTCTCTGTCAATAACTCTGCCTCTAAATAAAATCTTTTTAAAAATGTAAAAAAAAATAAATTGATTAATACTTTTAAAAGAATCTTGCAATATAACAACATAATTATTGAATTTATATTATTCTCATTTTTCAAATGACAAACTTGAGGCTTAGCAATGTTAAGTGGTCCATCCAACTAAGAAGTAGCAGAGCTGGAATTTGAGTTCAACTCTATGCAACTCTAGATTTGTAATTATTTTCTAGTAAGAATATACTTCAGAAAGTTCATGGAAGGGGCCAGCATTGTGGTGCAGCAGGTTAAGCTGATGCCTGCAACACTGGCTTCCCATATGGACATGGGTTCGAGATGCAGCTGCTCCACTTCCAATCCAGCTTCCTGCTAATGCTCTTGGGAAAGCAGTGGAAGATGGTCCAAGTGCTTAGACCTCTGTACCTATGTGGAAGACCTGGAAGAAGCTTCTGGCTCCTGGCTTCAGCCTGGCCCAGCCACAGCCATTGTGGCCATTTGGGGAGTGAACCAATGGATGGGAGATATCTCTTTCCTCTTATCTCTCTCTCCCCCTCCCTCTCTCTCTTTTTATGACTTTGGCTTTCAAATAAATAAAAATGTTTTTAAAAGTTCATGGAAATGTACATCATCATGTAAAAATAATGCATATATTTAAAAATATTTTGCACTAAAGTGTTTTAATTCCATTTTTCTATGAACTGTCTTTTGTTTGTAAGGCACAGGGGGAGGAGGGAGGAAGAAGGAGAGAGAGAGAGAGAGAGATGCTATCCATTGGTTTACTTCTTAAATGCCCACAACAGCCAGGTCTGGGCCAGGCCAAAGCCAGGAGCCAGGAGCTTCCATGTGAGGGGTAGGAACACAAACACTTGAGCCATCACCTGCTGCCACCTCCCAGGGTGCACGTTAGTAGGAAGCTGGAATGGGTAGCAGAGCCAGGACTCGAACCCAGGCCCTCCACTGTGGGATGCAGGAGTCCCAAGCAGCGGGTTAACTGCTGACCCGAATGCCTGCCTCTCTATGAACTTCTGGAAGTATTCTCATATAACAAAAGTGGCAAAGAGGTTTGCTTCATCTCAAGTCCACTCCAAGTGATTGGTTGTAGCTGTTGGCAGTGCTGTGTTGAAGAGCCCGGCTCAGGGTCAGCAGGCAAGCAAACGAGCGCGATGCAGGAGCCGGGTCAGCCACAAGTCCAGCATGTAAAAGCAGGAGCACATGTCCATCTGTTTGCTGATCCCGGTACTGTGTTTTCTGAGGCTAGAGTAGTGTCTTCTGCTAATCTGTGTGTTCCTCTGCACTTAGACCATAGTGTTATCTTCTAGCAGATGAGCAACAAATGGGTGTGGCTCGGCGCTGACATCAGCACCATCCCTAGGGCTCTGCATCACAGAAGGTGTGACAGCACCGACGACAGCCCCACCAGGGGATCCTGAGTGTGCACAGCTCCTCCCCGGGGCCAGGCAAGCAGCTTTCACCTGATGGTTGATCTCAAAATAAAGTGTGGGCCTTCAGGAGTCATGTTTTTATTCAGCAGACTGATTATCAACATTGAACGTCAGTTTATGATAAAACAAAACAAAACAAAAAAACTTTCCTGTGCACCGTCTGGTAACAGAGAAGCCATAGGTCACGCCATACACCTCCCTCATAGTCTGCTTGTTTGTGGTTGGGGTCGAGGCCACACATCTCCGGAGCTTTCCTGCCTGTTGTTGTAGGCTCAGGGCTCCACTTCTGCCCCTGCAGCCACCCCTACTCCACCAATAATGGATCAAAAAAGGAAAGATGTGCATAGCCTGTGTCGTTGTAAGTCAGTGGAGGGAAAAGCACTAATTTCCAGCATCTTGTTGCGAGCAGGGCTTTCCTTGCCTCCCCTGCGCTCCAGGTTTCAACCCCAATTTGGGCTCCCTGCTTCCCTCCCAGACTGTCTCCTGCCTCAGACTGAGAGCTCTCTCTTTCCCTTTCATCCCTTTTTCCATACCTCTGCATGGGGATGTGTCCAGGAACCCAGGCCAAAACCAGCAAATTTATCACCGTGGTAATGACAGCAAGCTGCAGGCTGAGTGGATTCCACAATCCCCCTCAGCTCCTTCTGCTGCCAAAATGTGTGGAGCTGCGAGATCCAGCAGATTACAGAGCCCGCCGCCCTGCAGAAGGGCTCTGCTGCAAAAGGCGATAGATACAGTATCTGCCATCAGGTTATTTTTGGAAACTTGTTTGGGGAAGTCTCAAAAAAAAAAATCCCCATATGGTAGAAGATGTTAATCAGTTCACCAAAATAGAGCATCCCTAAGCACACCGGAAAGCGACCTTTAGCAACGTGTCTCGTTATAAAGACCCACTCACCATTTGTCCCCCTGGGATGCCTGCTGCTCCGGAGACTCCAGTCTGCTGGTGAAGTTCATGGACGTGCCAGTCTCTATGACAAAACACCCTGCTCCTTCTAGACAGGCAGCTCCCCCCAAGCCAGGGGCCATGGCCAGTCCTTAGCCCTGTCATTACAACACAAGCTTCCCAGGCGTGGGGCTGGGAGGCCCATGCTTGGGGCAGCAAGCTAGGGAGTGTTGGGGGGGGGATGAGAGGAGAAGCACAGGGGGGCCATTGCCAAGAATAATGATGCTTGGTGTCAGGGAGGCCCCTTGCCGGGGCAGGGGGGGAGTGCTGGCTTCCCAGAGAGGAACACAGCCCAGTGTGTCCACAGTCCAGTCCCCTTCAGAAGACAGCCCCAGGCAGGGGAGGGGCCGCACCGCCGGGCACCTGCGCCTATACCCAGGAGACAGGCAGGGTGCACCAACATCACCCTGCTATCACCACGAGAGAGCCCTTCATAATCTACTCTAAGTTACAAGATGCCACCAAGTGCTGCGTTTGTCACCACAGCATCCCCTTTTATTTGGAACATGCACATGCTGTGCTTTTTAAAACTTCAGTCCCACTGTGTTTGATGCATACTGGAGTCAGCCCAGATCTAGGCTTACGCTCCTACCTCCTGTTGTTGTTGTTGTTCATTTTTTATTTGACAAGCAGAGAGATGGGGCCATGAAGAAGAGAGATCTTTTTTTCCATCTGCTGATTCTCTCCCACAAATACCTACAAGAGCCAGGGCTGGGCCAGACCAAAGCCAGGAGCCAGGAGCCAGGAACTCAATCCAGGTCTCCCATGTGGGTGACAGGGACCCAAGTACTTGGGCCATCGCCTGCGGCCTTCTGGGGTGTGCATTTGCCAAAAGCTGGATTGGAAGCAGAGGAGCTGAGACTCAAGCCGGGCATTGTGACATGGGATGCAGGCATCCCACGGGGCAACGTTACCGCTGTGCCGCACACGCACCCTGCCTAACTTTAATCTTCTGGTGGAGACAGTAAGGGTCATGTAGCACAGGGTCGGGGGTGGGCCACTGCATCTGTGGCTGTGGTTGGCCCAGGTGTCAGGTCAGTCTCCAGCTGACTGAAGGCTCACCAGGATTCATCACTGGGTTTCCACTCCCCAGCTCCCCCGCAACTCCACCCAACGTTCCCACTCTTCCCAATTTGGAATTAGGGTGCAGTTACTACCCAGGCCCAAAGGGTGGCTTCCTCTGGGCCTAGTCCTCTCCAGGGGGGACATGCAGTAGGCAAGGCACAGATATGCAGGTGTCCAGGCCCTGTGCAGCTTCCTGTTAATGTGCACCCTGGGAGGCAGCAGCTGACAGCTAAGTACTTGGGTCCCTGCCTCCCCATGTGGGAGACGCAGATGGAGTTCCTGACTCCTGGATTTGGTCTAATCCAGCCTCAGCTGTTGTGGGCATTTAGGGAGTGATCCAGCACATGGAAGATCTCTCTTTAAATACACACACACACACACACACATCAATGTCTTTCAAAGAAAAAATAAAGAAATTGGGGGCTGGCATTGTGGCAGATCGGATTGGGCCACCACCTGCCATGCCAGCATCCCCTATGGTGCTGGTTTGTGTCCCTGGCTGCTCCACTTCCAATCCAGCTCCCTACTAATGCACCTGGGAAAGCAGTAGAAGATAGCCCATCTGCTTGGGCCTCTGCACCCACATGGGAGACCCAGAAGACTCCTTGTTTCTGACTTCAGCCTGGCCCAGCCCCGACCACTGAGTGTATTGGGGGAGTGAACCAACGGATGGAGATCTCTCTCTCTCTCTCTCTCTCTCTCTGTCTCCTCTCTCTCTTTGACTTTTGAATGAACAAATAAATATTTTTAAAATTTAATTTAAAAGTAGTTCTATAAACTATTACAAGGCCAAATCTGCCTCCCCCTTCTCTAATAACAGACAGGAAGAACCACGTAAGAGACGGGGGGCCCAGGAGAGCTTGTGAGTGGTGGGTGAAGGTAACAGAGCCCCAGATGATAGAAGCAGAAGGTGAAAGGGGTGCCTGCGTTGACAGGCTGCCAGGGCCTTTGCCTCCTGGCGTGGGGGGGCCTCTTCTTGCCACCCAGGCCTGCGTCATCCCTCGCTCTACTTTTTCCCTTAGCTCGCCCCAGGCTTCCGAGGCCAGGTCTTCCCGCAGCCCATCAGAAACTCACTGTGGGCTTTCTTCCGTGTCTCTGCAGGTCACCTGAAGGAAGAACTCACCCAGCGGCACATCCAGCAAGTAGCGCTAGGTAGGTACAGGGTAGCACCTGCAGGAAGAAGGCGGAAGACACTCCGGGAACACCCCCGGGGAGGTTAGGGCAAGGGCTGCTGTCAGCGCCACTCCCTCTGTGTGCTGCTCCTCAGTGGGACCGGCTGCCCCTGACCGCGCACTGGCTCCCAGCTGTCGGCACCTGGAGGCTCGCCCTTCCAACCGGCGCTGCCTCAGCCTCCTTACCTTTCCACACCACCCTGGGTCCTACCTTGAGCTTTCCAGAACCACGGGCCATTCATCTTCACAGTAACCATCAGTGACGATGGTTAGCCACACCAGGTTAGCCACCCTCTAGTGGGCCATCTCCGGGCACTGCCTTATATGTGCTATCTGCGAGCTTGCCCACAAGTCCTTGGAGAGGTAAGTGCACCTGCCAGGAGAAGGGGACCCAGCGTCGTGCCCAAGGTCATGTGGCTAGCCTGGGCCTTTGTGCACTTTCTGGTGCCACAGCAATGCAGTACCATAGTCTGGGTACGTTTTAGAGAAGAGGTTTCTTTGCGGCTGATAGTCCTGGAGGTCAGAGGTCGAGAGGCCACATCAGGTAGTGACCTTCTCACTGGTGGTGTCCTGAGGCTCCTAGGACATCCCATGGGGAGAGACAGGGAGATGGCGTGTGTGCATCCTCTGGTCTCTCTCTGTCCTTAGAAAGCCACTCGGGTACAGGTGCAGAGCTGAGAGCCTACCTGAGGGCCTTCTCCAGCCAGAGTCTAGGGCTGCCCCGGGTCCTAGCTCCCCAAAGGCGGAAGGAAGCTTTGCTAAAGTGACCCTGCTCCAGGCTCACCTTCAGTGTGCAGGCTTCCCCAGGGGCTGCCCCCAGCCCCGAAACACGCGGCTTCCTCCGCAGCCTTCCTGGTGCAGATGGGAGAGCAGCAGTGATGGGGAGGGTCACCCAGCTTCAGGGGAACCTTCCTCCTGGTTCCGGGGAGCTTTCAGAGCGCGCTTTTTAAAACAAGTGGAAACGTATGTGGCTGTGCTGGCAACATAGGTTCTGGGCCCTGGCAGGGCTAGGCCCTGGCAGGCTGGGCGTTCCCTGAGCTGCCTGTTCTCTGCCGCTGGCTTGCACCTCTACCCCTCTGCTCAGCCCCTGGTGCCTTCTTCGGAATCAGAGCAGGTGTCAGGTTCAACAGAGCCCACCTTCCAACGGAAGGCACGTTGGCTGGAAGTCTAATTAAGATATCTGAAATACCAATTTTAAAAAGCATACTATTCCAAATTAGAAAAGAAGCGTTAACATCTCCCAGCTGCCATTTTGAGGTGAAAGGCCATTGAGGGTGGGTGTCTGCGGGCAGGTGGAGCCGCCAATGCGCATGCGCCCCACTCGCCCCACTCGGCGGCGTCTTGGGCTTCTTTTGAGCGAAAACTCCAGGCACGTCCGCTGCAGGCTGTCCCGAAGGCTGATGCCAGACAAGGGCTCCTCAAGGCGCAGAGCAGCTCCCTCGGGGCCCTAGGACCTCCCGTGGGCTTCCGAGGTGGGAGTCGAGCAGGAGCGGATGCGCCCAGCCCTGGTCCACGCCCGAGCCTCGTGCCGCCTCCTCCTCCCGGTGTGTTCCAGCTCCCTTGGGTGCTGTTCCCCCCTCTTCCTGCACCTGCTTGCCGAGACTTCCCTTTGCTGCTGTCTCTGTCTTATACTGAGGTTTGGGGGAGCGCGAGGGAGAGGGAGGCAGCCGGGGGAAGGGGGCAGTTGGGAGCCGGGGAGGTTTGCCCGGGAATGTGACTCTGGGGGCGCCCCCAGGGAATTGGCCATGGCACATCTCCGAGGAGCCAGGATTGAGTTGATGATGTGAGGGGCCCGCTTTGGGGGAGGCCTTTGCCTGTCGGTGGAAGTCACACCCAGGGGTGCAGAAGCCAGCTGGCGCCTTCTAGCAGCCCGGGGAGCTGAATATTAAACACACTTGTTAGGAGAACTGTGTTATATAAGCTTGCAATTAATTATATTTTAAAACAGAGTTTACGAATACTCACAAATCCGTCACTTCCTAATGACCTTGGTGCATTTTTCTGTAATCTTTGTTCTCGAAGCGATTCACATCATGTGTACGTGCGGTGGGGACACTGCAGTGGCGTGGTCTGTGCGTGCTCCCCATGGCCACGGTCAGTGACGTCACACACTGCTAGTGCGCGTGCCATCAGCCATTTACACCAAGAAAACTGGCAAAATGGCTTTATTTTCAGAGATCACCTGTTAAACATTGACCACCACGCCCCCTGGCATATAATCAGGAACTCCATTTCAAGACCGTTACATGCATGTACACACACATGAACAGACATGTATATACTGTGTGTGCATGTGTGTATTGTTCTGGGCCTCTGCCTGGCTGAAAATACATATTATGGCTTTCTCCTCCTTTCCCACCCACCCACAATACATCAGGAAACAAACCTCTGCCACACCCAGACCCTTTGGGAAATCCAGGGGACAGGGAAACCACTGAGGACGGAAATGAGGCAGGAGAAGCACTGGGCAGGGTGGGCTCCCAAACTGAGACCGCCAGGGCGCGAGTGGGGGTGCCCCCCAGGAGGAGCGCCAGCAGCCAGTGCTGAGGACATCCTCAGCGAGCGGAGGTTCCCGACTGTCTTGGGAAATAAAACGCTGTTATTTATTTTCTTTTTTAAAGATTGAATTACTTATTTATTTGAAGGGCAGAGTGACAGGAGGATGGAGAGACAGAGCTAGAGAGAGAGCGCTGCCATCTGCTGGTGCGCTTCCTACATGGCCCCCACAGCCAGGGCTGGGCCAGGCTGAAGCTGGGAGCCTGGAACTCCATCCGGGTCTCCCGCATGGGTGCAGGGACTCAAGCACTTGGATCATCTTCCACTGCTTTCCCAGGCACACTTGCAGGGAGCTGGATCGGAGGTGGAGCAGCTGGGACTCGAACCGGCACTCATATGGGATGCAGGTGTCGCAGGCAGCGGTTTAACATGCTGTGCCACAGCACCCACCCCAGCAAGGTTCTCCATAAAGTAGGCATTATTTGCAAGTCATGCTGATTTAACTAGAGGCAGCCAGCTGGTTGGGGAGTGCTTTACTGAATCCCACTGGGCTGTTACCACCCCGTGGGTACCATCAAGCCTAAATGGCATGAGATTGTTGATTACACCGACAAAACTGACCAGCCAGCATTTGTGAGCACCGTAGCCTGCACCTGGCCTCATTCCCAGTCCTCTGTGTGTGTCTCTGTAATGTCCGCGGGATCCCCAGGAGGTAGATGCTACTGTTGGCCTCACTACCTAGCTAGGGGTGACGTGAACCTGTCTCACTTGGTTCAGCCTGGGCTCCGGCCACCACACTGCACTGTGCTGCCCTTAGTCCCCCGAGAGCCACAGATCCAGGGCTTGCCCTCAGAGAGTTTTCAGTGTGACCAGGATGAGGGGGCACACACAGCAAGTGGCAAACCCCTTTGAAGATTTCAGATCCAGACCCGTGAGTCCTTCCGCTCACCGTCCCCTTCCTGCAGGGGCCGCGAGCCGGTTCAGCCTGGGCCTCCTCCACGGGGCCTGCCCTGAGCTCTTCTCTCCAGACCTGCTTTGCCTCTAGCCCGTGCGTCTCCGGCAGAGCACCAGCCTTGCCTTGTAGTTACTCCCTCGCACAGCGGTTCTCCGTGCTGAAGTGGGGGTACCCTGAAAGCTGGGCGCAGGTTCTTCCCCGTCGCCCTAGCAGCCGGCACGAGCACCCAGCCGGTCAAATCCACGGCCACGTGGCTGCGTCCCCAGACGACTTCCAGACTCGCACGAGCCATCTGAGCATCCAGTAAAATCAAGTCCATTTAAAAGAAGGAGAAGGAGTAAGTGCTTTTGGACCCCACCGCTGAGCAAATTACAAAACAAGGAGCAATAAATTTGGCTCTCTCTTGCCTCGCCGCTAAGCAAGAAGAGAAGGACCCGGAGCTCGCCAGTTTTCATTTTCTGACAGCAGGAAGCGCACTAACTAATTTATCTGCAGAAATAGAATTTCTCCCTGGAACTAAACACAAGCCAGAATTTATCGTGTGAATCCTGGTATAAAGGACACTGACTGACACAGTGAGTGATGTCTTCAACTGCAGTTTCACAGAAGATCCAAACTGTTGTTTAAGCAGCTGATTCGTCTATCGACCCGCTATAAAAGCTACAGGCCTGACATTAAAGCATAACTCAGTGGGAGCGTCTTCGTGAGCAGCTGGGGTAATCCAATCCAGGTCCTCTGCTCCCCCGTGGTCACACCGAGCAGGAATCCAGCGGGGAGAACCCAGCCTGGGACTGGGGGCCAGCGCTCTCCCCCAGACACTTCTCTCAGTTCACAATCCAAGCGCTAATGAGTGCCTACGGTTAGAGTCTACAAGATAGGCAGACCCCTGCCAAGAAGCGTGTGAAGTGTGCCTGGAGAAAGGAAGGAGCCATCAGAGCTTTAGGAACTTAACAGGAAGAGCCCCACCCCGGGGGTGTCCCCAGGGCCACAGGCCTGGCCTGGGTCTTGAAGAACGGGCAGGACTCAGAACCACCGGGAAGAGTGGGGGGTGGCTGGGGTGCACACTGTGTGTGTGTGTGTGTGTGTGGTATATGTGCATATGGAGGGGCATGTATATATGGTGTGGGGGGGTATATGTGCATATGTGTGGCAGGCGTATATATATGTCGTGTGTGCAATACATGTGCATGTGGGGGCATGTATATGTGGCATATGTGTCTGGCATGTCTATATGGCATGTGTACGTGTGTGTGTGTGTGTGTGTAGAATGGCTCTCTTAGGGGATTGATTTGAAAGAGTTGAGGGCAAAGCTAAACAGTAGGACCAGCCAGCTCACTGAGAGCCTTGAATCTGAGCTTGCATTCAACAGACGGTTGAGCCGCTGGGCATATTTGAGCAAGGAAGCCTTGGTCAAAGAGGCCTTTTAGGAAAAGCAAGAGCCAGCACCCAGTGGAATTCCTCAGCATTTGCTCACTGACCTGCACCAGCGCTCACTCCCCGCCCCACCCCGGCCTTCCCCTGCCCCTCAC